ATATAAATGTTTCCACTTCCTGCATCTGCATATTGGAGGATCAGATGCTGCATTTTAGATGTATTTCTTTGGGGTACAGTAAACTCATCAACATTCAGTTTAGCAAAATAGCAGAGGTTCTGTTCTGACTTTTCCCTTTTATACTTTGGGTCCTGCAGGCACCTCCTTCATTATCAAGAGCTCAGGAGATCAATACACATAGTTTATTTCAAAGATTGATCTTTAAGCTCTCTTTTCTACTATTGTCACCATGATGAAGAATAGCCAGGTGGAGATGTAGGGATAGCACTCAACCTTCCCTATTTTGATATGAATTCTTGGGGGCAGAGGAAGCACAAGCTGGGAAGATGCCAGTAAGCGCCACGCAATGGATAGAAACAGCTGTTCTTTATTATTATTTATTGACTAACAATGGGCAATTGGACATCCACAAAGATCAGTGATACTGATATTTACATACTCTCTTTCTCTCTGAGTTCCCTCTGCTTTCCCCGGACTCCCCATACATATAATCTTGACAGTTGGCAGAAATGGTCTGGCTTATTTGGGACAAAGTTGGCTCACAAGGATAGTTGCTTATTAAGAAAAGTCTACATCTGAGATTATAAATTTGTATTTTTGAAGAATGACACACTGTCCCTGGGTTATATCATTTACTTAAAGGAAAAACAAACAATTATTCATCTTATATCAATACCTGCAAAAAAGAGGCAGATTAGTGTAATTGTTGGGAGCCGAGACTCTGGAGTCAGACTGCCTGGATTGGAAGCCAAGGCTGTCATTGAATGATCTTTTGTACAGACTGTGTTCCATACCATGAGATAAGGGCATGAGTAATGCCAGTATGGAGACACATGCACAAGGTAGAGTGACACCAGCTGCTGTAATAGATAAATCCATAGATCTCTGTGGTTTCACCAGAAGAAGTACATTTCTTGTTCTGATTGAAAAGAATTGTTTCTTCAATGGGTCATGGACTCATCATGTGTGGCTTTACCACCTCCAACACAGCAGACCAAATGATGATGTTTAAATTCAGTCTTACATAGGGAAGGTCTTTCGTGCCACACCCAATTAACAATGAATATGCTTTCCATACTCATTCATTGGTCAGACTCAGTCACATGGCCACATTTTAGTCCATGATTGGCTAGAAAATAGCCATGCAACCAGAAGAAGAAGTTGTGGTGGCCAACTAGCTTCTGTCACAAGATTTAGGCAAAATAAGTCATTAAAATATATATATCATGTATAAAACACTCACAATAATAAGAGACCTTTAGAATATTATATACATTCTTTTGAAATATTTCCTAACATTTATAATATGAGATATCTACCTCCTAGATTCTACATTTACATTTCATTCTATTTGCTCCATCACATTCCTATGTGTCTGTCCATCCTGCTCTCCATCTATCAGTCCATCTTGTTTATTCAAAGTATGTTGTTTTGGTCCAGTTCCCCACCAAGTACTTCAACATTCAGATCATCAGCTAGAGTTCAATATTTGTTTATAGTTATTTCTTTTGAGGCAATTATAACAGAAAACAATGCACATATCTTAAGTGTAGCATTCAGTGTGATTTGGGTAGATGCCTGTACCAGTGTAAGCACATACCTGTTAACGAATAGAATAGTGCTACTACCTTAACAAGTTCCTTTTTGATTTTTCCCAACTACCAACACCCTCCTGCCACCCCACTGAGTCATGCACTTTTCTGACTATTTCCAACCCTAAATTACTTTTACCTGTTCTAGAACTTAATAAAAATAGCATATTTTTGCTGGTTAAAATTCTTAAAAATAAAAATTACAAAGCTTGTTTTCTCTTTGGGTTAAATGTCAAAGAAGCTTTCATGACTTTGCTGTTCTCAAATGAGAGTGTTGCTTTAATCATTAAAATAAATGTGAAATTTCAGAAAAAAATAGCATATTTTTGTATAAGCTTTCTTTCATGTAGCACACTCTTTGTATGATTTATTCTTGTCATAAGTATCAGTAGTTTGTTCCTTTTCATTGATAAGTGGTATTCTATTATACAAGTAATCAGAGCACCTCCCCCATTTTCTTACTGTTGCTTTTACTAATAAAATGTCATAACTCAAGTCCTTTTGTAGTCATATGTCTTTCAGTGTATTTGGTTTTATTTATTGTATCTTAACTTTTCATACTAGGGATTGAATCAGGGCTGTTGCACTGAACTGCATTCCCATCCCTGTTTAATTTTTTATTTGAGAAGAATCTCAAAGTTGCCCAGGCTGGACTTGAACTAGAGACCTCCCTGTCTCAGCCTCCCAGAGTAGTGGGATTACAGACACGACACTTGAACATGGTATGAGTATAGTCTTGAGTGACTACCTAAGAGTAAAATTGTTGGGTTAAAGGTAGGGGTCTACTTAATTTTATGAGAAATGATATATAAATGTTCCTTTGAAAAATAAAGGAGGAGTCATAAGCAAAAAAAGTCCATGAAGATAGGAATGTTTTTCCACTGGCCGTGGAAAGCATAAACCTCTGTAGGGCATAAAAATAATAGACGCCAAGCCCTGTCCTGAACCAATACCAAGGGAAAAGGTGGAAAATCTATGTATTTATAAAGATTCACAGAAAATTCCTCAGTGTAATTGATGTCAATAGCTGTGGCTCTGGGTCTCAATGCACCTGACCATAAGAGATTTTACTCATCTTCATGTTATGGCTTGGATCTAGATGTCCCCTCAAAGCCTTATGCACTCATAGGTGGAGCTTTTTGGAGCTGGCTGCATCTAGGGTGTGTGATACTAAGACTAAGGGTGTGTGGTACTAAATCAGTCCTCTGATTGAAATTAGCATAGTTCTGGGTGTAGTTGAATGGATTTGTTGAAGACATTCTGAGTGTAGGTGGGACCACCCAAAAGGCTTGGAGCCTAGATGGGATAAAAAAAAATGAAAAGCAAACTTCACAGCTGCTGCTGCCTCCTACCTGCCCTACCATGAACTCCTCTGCTATGCCCCTCTTTCCATGTCGCCCTGCCTTGGAGCCAGCAAACTACAGACTGAAACATCTACAAACTATGAGTTAAAATAACCTATTTCTCCTTTAGCTTTGGGTGTTGAATATTTTGTCTCAGCAATGAGAAAAATAAGCAAGACACTGCATATCCTCAAAGATTAACATAGTACTGAATTCATATACAAGCAAGAAGTATTTGCTGAATTGAGATGCTAATCATTACATCTGAAATATTAAGTATACTTGTTTTCCCTAAAGAATATGTCAGATATTAGTTGGGGAGATCTAAACTCTCATGTAATTTCAGTCAAGAGTCTTGTATTATACATGTATTTCCTGTTTATATTTTTAGGGTTAACAATAAACAATAATCACTCATTTCCCACAGAACCTGGCAGAATGCCTTGAAGGTGCTCAAAAATGACCTCTCTAATGAGCAAACAAATAGAATAAAAAGGATTGGTTCCTTCTTTTTTTACACACCAAGAAAGTAAGTTTATTTAAATTACTAAAATAGCTTTTACATATCAGCAGTAACAATTATTTTTCCTGAAAGATAATAAGTAACATATTACTTTAAAATTATTTGGTTGATTGAAACATTTTATAAAAACATTGGTTTCTCCATATAATACGTTTAAAATAATTCTCAAAATTTTGTTTTATAATCCTTTATAAATCAGACCATCTGTCTTCTGATTGTTGGAAACAAATTGTAGTAAAGGGGTATACATTTATGAATGCTGGTAATTCTAGTGGAAAGAAATCAGACCACACTTACTATAAGTTGTGAGGCCCTCAAAGGGTAAATGAAGCTGATGTCTGGCTATAGTACCCTAAAAACAGCTTTTTCACTTAATAGCTTGTGGACAATTAAAAAAAATCTCAAAGTAGATCTAGAATTATATTTAAAGAAAAACAAAGCAGTTGAAAGATGAGAAAACTCCAGTTATACATTTAACATTCTTTATATGTGGTAAAGTTCACTATCTTTTTTGTCTTGATGCACACAAATTTATCACATGCATAGTAAATCTTTACATTTCTTACTGAGTATCATTAAAATACTTAGACTGCAACAAGTGGACAAGCAGAAATTAAATCAATAATAGCTCAGAATAGCAGGTTAACAAATGGCTTACCAACTTCCGAAACTGTTATTTCTTAATTCAAAACAAAAACTTCAGATTTGCACAAAATGAACTGCTCTGAATTTACTCTTAAAAGTCAAATGAGCAATCATATGAAGCCTTCTAATACACAGACTAAAACTTCTTGGGATAACCAAGAATTTCTTAGAGGAGGAAAAAAAAATAAACACAAAAAAATTCCAATAGAATTCACCAAGGGTTTAGATGTTTCACTGACTTACCTCTTAGTGGCTTTATTGTAACATTTCATATTGAAATTTTTTTTACCCTTCCATTTCCTTCTTTATCCATTCTACAATTTCTCCCTTCCCTTTCCCCCTCCTCTCCACTCTCCAAAAGTAAAGGGAAAAAAATCTAAACACATATGCAGATGATCTTTCCTTACTTTTGTTCCTAAGCAGAAGCTGACTAAGGAACTCAGGATTAAATGTTGTAAGAGGAAACATAATGGGAAAACCCATGGCTACAATTAAAGAGCTGCCTTATTAACTCAACAAACTTAAAATCTAAGTTAAGTTTAAGAACAAGGCTTATTCATATGAAAGGCGCCTAATCCTTCAAACTGTTCATGCTACAGCAATGATTCTGCCCAGAATCAAAACAGATTCTTGATGGGAATGCATAAATGTGCACTTCTCTAATTACTCAACATAGCTCTCACCAGAAACAGAAATAATTCTCTGAAGTCACAAATAATTTAGATGATTTAGATGTTCCATGTTTATATAAGAACTTAACTTCTTTTAAAAAGAAACAGTTCATTCAAAAAGTGCTTGGAATGCTGTCTCTGGTAAAAAAAAAAAAAGTCTGAAAATTTCTTAGATTTGAGACATGATTTTTCCTTCTTTCACCCCTCACAAGAGGATACCCCTTTGCAGAGCATTTTCGGGCTGTAGAGGCAGGACTAAGTGAGAAATATGGCTCCAAAGCCCATCCAGTTTGTCTGGGTCCATATGATTATAGGAGCTGGGGGTGCTAGAGCTGGTGAACTTCACTCTGAGGAAATCTCTCACTTTTTCTTCAATTTCCTTTAGGCCTAGACTGGTTCCAAGGGTTTTCTCCTCCAATAGGATGGTCAAGACTAAGGCTACATCTTTGAAGGCTGCATTTTCATGATCATAGTATTTATAAAAGATTAAAGTAGAGCCTGCAGGCAGTGATTCAAGGTGGTGCACTACAGCTGCATTCTGGCCAGTTGTGAAACCATTGCTCAATTCCTGATCTACCTCCCATTTGACAGCATCACTGTCTTGAGCAGCTTTGCCTGTCCCATCAGTCAGGATGGCATGGACACTCTGAAAGGAAGAAGAGGCATCAGCAATTTATTCACTCAGACATTTAAGTGCTTCTTCCACCTCTTGGGGAGCAGTAAGCAGCAAGATAGCAGGCTGAGGCCAAGGATGGGAGCTATTAAGATGTTTCTGAAGGAACACTAGGCTTCTTTCCCACAGCTTCTCATCTTGACCTTGGTACTTATTTCTAAGTTGTTTCATCTGGTGCTGGAACATTTGAACAGCAGTAGTTTCTACCTCAGGAGTATGAGTAAAAGAAAAATTCCACAAGACAAGAATACTTATCACAACAAGTAGGCACAAAAACCATTTCTTCTTGAAAAAATAGTCATTTGGGGGCTGTTCAGCTACTTGTTTGCTGGAGAGTGATAGAGACGGGTCTCCAAGCTCTGACACCTGAATGCTGTCACCATCTGAAAAACGGCCATATATCGAACTCTTGACTGGTGAAGATGTTCACATTCTCGTTCTCATTCTTATTTGTTGTTCAAACCATTCCTGAGGGTTTTTTTCAAACCATTGTTCAAACCATTCCTGAGCTTTGGGGTAATCTCCGAATTGATTCTGGACATTGATTAGGTGATCTAGCGGTTTGATCTCCAGATTCAAAAGAATCCCCGGATCTGACCTTCACAGTAGTGATATCACTGTGAGAACCACCTCGGCCGTCCTCTTCAGTTTCTCCTTCTTCAGAGAAATTGACCTTCTGTTCAACCCTGGAGGCTTCTAATTCATTCTTCTTAGTATTTTTATTTGTTCTGTATGCTGAATCAGATCTCGTGCTTCTCAGAGGGAGTCTACAAAGGCTAATTACAAGATCGTCACTGGTCACTGGAGCTTCTTGTGTTCTGACAGATTTCTTTGAGACTGTTTGGTTTGTAACAGTTTGAGAAGATGGTTCATCCTCTTTCCAAATCCCCACTCACAAAGCTCCTCCTTCCTCTCCCCACCAGGGTGGGGATGGAGAAGACTGGAAGGTTAGAACCATGATCCCCACTCAGCTCTTGGGGGCTTCTGGATTCTGAGAACTAAAGAGGGAAATGGAAGTGACTTTGATATAGTAACATCTGCAGAGGATAGAGAGGCCTGCAACCCTCTCTGGATGGAAACCGGCAATGGGTGTACCAGAGGCTGCTGTGAGTGTGGCTGCAGGAGGCGGGTAGTCTCAGAGTGGTTCTTATTACCACTACTGGAGCATCAGAAAAATACACACTTAAATTGTGAGGATGAACAACTCTTCTGGAGCAGTAGCCTGAGTTTTAATTTCAAACTTATTAAAATCATAAAAATGGAATGATTTTTTACTCATTATATTAATTTCTATGTTTCTAAATGCCATGGAGAAATTCCAGTGTTCAACCAACTAAAAGTCTATGAGTTCAATTCAGTTCAACTCCAGAGAGCCAAGTGTATGTCTCTGTTAACAAGGTGTCCTAAATTTTCCATGGTCACCTCCATATTGAATTTCAGATTAGCTGTCATGATTTCAGAGTGCAAGAAGGTGGTTATTTTTTTCCTGACTAGACCTGCGTCTAGGTTGGAAAACCCATCCTGAAAACCACAGGCACTAAAATCCTATGTGCCTGTTCCACATTTCCTTCTACCAAAATTTCTTAATCTTGAGGATTCTTTTGATCCCGTTTATCACACCAAATTACCTTAGGAATCTAAAGAATATCGTATATCATTGACTTATTGCACTTATGTCCATCCTGTTTGTCAGAAAAGCTAGCTCTAGTTTTTAGTCTGCTGGAGATATTCCAAATCACGTTGGGAGGACTGTGAATAAGAAACTTGAAATGGTTTGTATAGAGTTATAGGGTTGAGATCCAACCATACCTCTCAATATTCTCCCTTTTGCACTCAACAAATGTTTGTTCAATAAACAAAGGACAAGTTAATGAAGTACATAAAGTAGAAAATGCATGTTTTATGGCAACAGCAGACCGGTATTCTTCACCATTTATTAATTGAACAGCCTTAAATCAGTCTTGTTTTCCTGACTTAGAAAATGAAAATAATAATTACCTCCCAGGATGTTTATAAAGAGATGATGAGATGATTTATATCAAAATGATTTGGGAGCAACAAAGCGCTACAGAACATTAGTTATTATTAACTTGATGAATAATGATCCACAGGTTACCAACCAGGAAGCTTTCCTGGATCCCAAACTAAGATTCTCTATTGCATTTGTTTGATTATGTTTTAAGGGGCCTGTCTGAGGCCAATTATTGCTCTTCAGAAGAAAACTGTGCTTAAACTAATGTCTGTGTGGCATTAGTATGAGGGAAGAAGTAGGCTCAGGAACTCTAATCTCAAAATGTTGAGCTATGTCTGGCAATGTCTGGCTAGATCTGTATGTCAGATGCTTTTGTAAATGTTGAATCAAAATCCAGACAGATTTTCTGTGCTGTACTCAAAGAGCTTTTGTCAAGTCTGGCGTTTTCACTCTTGAACACAAAACATTTTCTTAATAACACAATCATCCATGAAAAAGCAATCTTTGTCTTAGAAAATCTTTCTTTGGAGAAATTGTTTTCATTGTTAGAGGCTCAAGCATACAGAATGATATGAATGATTATGTGCTGATTTTGGCACAGTGTTTTCTCTTAAATGTGCCTTTGTATATGGTAGAGCACTTAGATCAAGGTTAGTTTTGCCCAGAGAAATTTTCCAGTAGAGTAGATCACTGTAATAAAGAAACTGTTTATTTTTTTATTGTCAACAGGGATTTTATTGTTCAATTAAATTAATTTCATCTTTTTATTATATAAATTGAAAGCATATGCGTGGTGTTTTAATACAGTTATCTTGTATATATATTTAAAGTGAAGTGATTGCTATACTCAAGCAAAATAACATACTCATTATCACATATGGTTTCTTTCCTTTCTTTTCTTATTTTTAGTAAAAGTGCCTGAAATCTACTATCTTGGCAAATTACTAGTATACAATGCATTATTTTCTATATTAACTATAGCCCTCATATTGTACATTAGCTCTCTAGATTTATTCATCCTATATAATAGCAACTTTATATCTTTTGACCTATATCTTCCCCTTTCATCTTAACCTTCATGGATATGAAATCTTAAGCATACTTCACATATAGAAACAGCTGCAAACTAAACTCATTAGTGGTAAGGAACATGCTTAATATTTTATAAGATACAATGTTAATAGAACATAGTGACATGAGAAAGTCATCCTGAGATGATTCCATAGGAATCATAGGTAATTAATCAAAATGCCAAAATATTGAAATGTATATTTATATTTCCTCAAAAAGGACTTCATCTGTTTCTCTGGCACTGCATGGCCTTGACTCTCCTACCTCTGGAGGATTTTGTGGATTCAGTTTGTAAAAAGCAGAATCTCTGAGAGAAAGGACATTTTTCACAGGACTCTTGAGTTGGCTGTGTTCTATTTTGCCATGAATTTAGCCTGGTTATTTTTTCGCTGGAATGTAATTCTGTACTCTGCACATATGGCTATTGAATCACCTTTCTTTGACCTTGCAAGTCCTTGAGGCTGTTGTACAAGTGCCTCCTACTTTAAAAATTCTAAAACATTATATTTGCTTGCCAACCCCTTTTAAAAGCACTCTGTCTATAATTGCAAACAGCCTGCCCCAGCACTCTGGTCCTCCACAGCATTTCATAGAAGGAAAGGACACAAGACAGCACCTGCTAATCCACTTTTCATCAAAGAGGAGATTTAAGCCCATAGTGGAGCTGTTCCTTATGCTTCAGGTTGATGCATTCATGACCGGAACCACATCTTCAGCAGCTTCTTAGAGCCTCTCATGATGGGGTGCCACTTCCCTCCCTTGATTTCTTTGCATCCCAGGCTGCTATGCTCCCCTTTTGTTCCCTCTAAGCTCTTCCTTAAAGTTTGCTCTTCCACATCATTTCCCATCCATGAGCTTCCTCTCAGAGCTGCTTCCTTTCACCTTTACCCCCACCACCGCTACCAATCCTCCTTACCTCACCAGCTCTGAGGGGATTAATGGCTCTCTGAGGTGTGTTTATGGATCTCCAAACTCCATCTGGATGTTTTACTTCATTGTTGCATTTTGGTTTCATATCCAAACATCTCTAGGTCTCCTCATATTACAAGTCCTATCCCAGAGGAAGGGGCTTCTGGGGCACAATCCCTCCTGCTGCTCCCAGCCCAGGGGAAAGGGCTTTTGGGGTGCCTTCTGTCCCACTGCTCCCAGCCCAGAGGAAGGGCCTTCCAGGCCACCAACCCTATCGTCACTCCCGGCCCCCGTCCCACCTCTCCCAGCTCAGAGGAGGTGATTGGCGTGGGTGCCAACAGCACCCACCTGCCCCCCAGTCGAAATGAGAAAACACATACGTAAGTCTCAAAACCAGACTTCCAGATCACCTACAGCAACCCCAAAGGGAAATAAGATGGAACACTCTGATATTCCACCTGAACCCTCTGAACTGGCAACAAAAGGGGATCTGGAAAAAATGAAATCAGAAATAATTTCTCAGATAACAGGAGAAATTGTGCTCCTACTACAAGACA